TAGGTTCACACAACTGGATGAAAACTGCACACATAAACATTGACCTTATGTACATAAAATAATACATCATAGAATTCACCCTTTTGGGTGTGAACACATCTTGCTTAAGAGCGTTTGTGCTTAAGGTAAAAATATCGTTAACTAATATTAAATCAAGACAAAGAAAACAAAAAACTGCATATACAAACTTAAAAAAAAAAAAACAATGATAATAAAAAATTAAAAGAGGGAAATTAATGTTCTATAGAAATAAAAATAAATGTGATTGGTCTACAGCTCGGTGTGGATCACGGAACTTAAATTTATTTTAAGTGAGGCTAGAGAAGCATGGCAAACAAATATGTCAATTTCATCACGTATACTATTTGCCAGGGAAGTCATACGATAGACAGGAGAGTGCTGGCCAAGATTACTTTTGATTTTTGGTAGGTGGAAAGTTTTCCGATTACATAAGCGGCTGCCCAAGCGCGGTACGCTTAAGTGAATACGTTCAAGTATTTCTGGTGAGTCTATTATGCTGTGTATAAGCTTGTAAAGGACCACAATATCAGCTGCTTTACGTCGTGTGCTTAATGACTGGATCCGATAGAACGAAAGGCGTTCCCTATATGATTTCAGTTGGTGACACTTATTATCATTAAAAGCGAGATGATAAAGGAACCGTTTTTGGATTCTTTCTATCCTGTTTGCATGTACTTGATAGCCAGGGCTCCAGACTGTACAACAATATTCCAAAATGCTTCGTACAATCGTATTATAAATAAGAATAGTTATGCTAGGTTGCTTGAATATTTTCATTTGCCTATTTATAAAACCAGAAAGCCGAGAGGTCCTGCTAATTATGTTATCAATATGGGATCTGAAGTTCAATGCGCTATCCAAGATGATGCCCAAGTCCCGAACAGTATTTACTTCTTGAAGGGGTATGTTGTTTATGAAGTATGTGGCTTGAAACGGAACCCTCTTTCTTGTAAATTTAATAAAATTACACTTTTGCAAATTTAAGTGCATGTAATTCTGCGTACTCCATTTGTAAATCGCATTGATATCTGACTGAAGAGCCATTATATCCGAATGGTCTTCAACAGCACGATACACTTTTAAGTCATCAGCATATAATTTAAATTTAGATTGGATGACATGCTTAATGTTATTGATGTAGACTAGGAAAANCATCACACATCGAGATACCTGCTCAGCTGCTGCTAGTCAAAATTAAAATTAAATGCAAAGCAGAGATATCGCGGACGCATTTTGCGTCTCTTGCACACCAACGAAAACTTTATAAGGGCTCAGTTATCAGTTGAAACCTGTTTCAGCTCCAGTCACGTGCACACGACCCAACGAAGTTTGGAATCCGTGTGCACAATGTTTGGCGGAACGATGCGAGGATCTCAACAGTACCTCTAACCAGAATTGTCCTGCTGAACTGCGCTCTTACTGCAGGCCGCAGTGCGTGTGTGCAAAAGGCTATTACAGGAACAACAATGACGTTTGTGTCCCGAAGAACGCGTGTCGTAAGTGAAATGTTATAGAACATTAATATCTTGACTTTCCTAGATTTCTTTATGTGTTAAGTCGATGATCTGTTATGATGATAGTATGTCTGCCTATTAACCGGAAAGAAGAGTTTCACATGGTTCACATATTTTTTGAGGTTACTTCTATTCTTGTAATAAATATTTATTGGAGTCCTTCCGGAAATCCTATTTGAAGTTCATCGTTTTTTTTATTTAAAATTTTAACACAAACTATTATTTCTAAACAGCTGGTCAGTGTCCGGTGCCCGCCAGGTGTAGACCTACCTGCTCTGTGCCGAATCCACCGAACTGTCCACCTTACAAGCCGCCTATTGAGAACGTGGACGGATGTCAATGTCAAGAAGGGTACATCTTGTCTGAAACAGAAGGGAAATGTGTTAAAATAGAAACCTGCCCTAGTAAGTTACGTTTAAATTTGTTTTCCTACCTAAGCTGAGAGCCTTGAGAGGCTATATCAGCGTAACCTTAACTAGTAGGTGAGCTCACGGGGCTCAAACCTGACGACGTTGCTAACACGAACCCTAGCAAGAGCCGTGCTTCGCAGAATCTACCGCTGGATCGGAACGCGACTCACTGACAAGATCCGGCGAGAAACTCAGTGGGCTGTGACTGTGGGTTAATTTACTTGTCGAGCCCTTCGTCGCAAGCGACGGGTTCGACGAGAACGATGACTGGTGCTTGAGGTACCTAAAAGCACCGTTAGTGGATCGGGAGGATCCGAGATGACGTGTTTTGGGCGACGTGGACTGCTTTCCATTCTGTCCGCAGGATCGGGAATGTAGTTTCCGGTAGCCAAGATGAGAGGGTTCTCGTGTCGTGCCGCTTTATCGAAGTGGTTTATCACTAGCTTTTGCCCGCGACTTCGTTCGTGTGGAATATTTACTTTGGCATAACGCAAAATTATAGCCGAGAACTTCATTTACGTAGAAAGTGAAATTATTTTTGAATAATAGAATGTTAAGGAGTTATTTACGGTACCAAAATCAAGCTTTTGACCCGACTTCAAAAGAGGAGGCTATCAATTCGACCACAATTTTTTTATCTATCTATGTTCACCGATTTGTCGAGAATGCTTGAAACGATTCTGATAGTTCTTTTTTCTTTTTTTGTTCGAAAGGGTAGACTTCCCGAATGGTCCTGTAATCATCAAGATCTGATGATGGGATCCTGGAGAAATCCAGGAAAATTTATAATTTTTAAAGCCTATCTTGAAGTTGTTTGGTGTTTCTTGTTATTTATTCTTTTTATTCTGCGCCGCCGCGCACCGGCCGGCCGATGCCTTGTACATCAATATTACACGCTTGATCATTATTTTGCTGCGGTGTTATTTTAAAACTGCGATATCTTCTCATACTCATTAAAATACTCATAGCGAGATACTCATTAAAATCAAGTGAGGGGAAATTTCTTTAAAATTAAATACTTGTGATGAATAACGTATTTATTTGGATAGGAATTTAATATCATCTTCATAAAAACACCTTCACTTATAATGCTTTATTTTAAAACAAATTTGGTTAGCATAAAAAACGATATAGTGAACCAACCTTAAAATATAGACATATGCTGTCGCGGACTTTTTTTAGAACTTTTAAAGGAGAACAATTTTGTCATACATTATTTTAGCGAAACTTTAACTGTGTCCGCAGTGCACGCAACGGAAGCTCTCAAAAGGGAAAAAAACCCGACTATGAAACATTCTTTATTGGTGCTCCGCTTGTCAATACAAGCGCAATAATTGGTCTTAGCGTGATTTTATAAATTAAATGAGCTATCTAAGACTGAAAGAATTTTTCAAATAGGTCCAGTAATTCCTGAGATTTGCGCGTTCAACCAAACAAACAAAAAAACTCTTCAGCTTTATTATATGTGATATATAGATATGTGATACACTTTTCCCAACAAATATATATCTTATTTCTGTTTTCTTGTCCTCGTCCCCCAGTTGACCTTCTTATATCTGGGGTTGTGACCACCTCCATCCATGTCCTGTCTTTGATTCTTTGTACATCATTGCAGACTCTGTAATCGAGTGTGGTGCAGATCTGGTCAAAAGAACGCATTGGGTTGCTGCCTCGCCATATTTTCTATTCCATTTTGCCAGTAACAACTAGCTTCTCAAAATTATCTCTATGTTTTCTGGAAATGTTTCTGAGATTCGCTTAAGGCAAAAGCTGGAAAGCCTTATTTTCATTATTACTCGGAGTTTGCAGGGATAAAATAAATAGATTTATTTATCTCATCTTTTAATTTTTAATAGTTCTGCAAGTAGATTTTATATATTACTGAATCCAATTAAAATATAGTGTCCAAGTGTTACAAATATCTGTAACAATATGATACAATATGTAACAGATATTTGTAACGGAACGGATCGATAGTGTTAACTAAAATTAATTAGGAACTTTATTTTAGGTCCGTGCAATGCAAACGAAACGCTCGTTTCCTGCAAAACTGGTTGTCAAACGAACTACTGTCCAACTAGCGACAGCCGCGCTGTAGTTGATTGCGCGCTTCCTTACCCATGCAATCCAGGCTGCGTTTGTAAACAAAATTATAAGCTCCTAAGTGAGAATGACAAGAGATGTGTGCTGACCACAGACTGTCGTAAGTACAACATGTAATACAATCAAAGTTGTGTTGTGGTTTTTTGATGCTATAGACGAGGTGAGCTCATGGTCCACTCTAGAATGCCGCTTCCCCTAGAACAAACATTTATACAGTACGACCTATACCTACTACTGAAATACTCCTGTCTTTCGTGAATTTATTAGGAACTTTCTAAGATAAGTAAAGTTACACATAATAATGACTAAATTATTTTTGAATGAAATGCGTAAAATAAATTCAGTTAGATTGCAGGCGGAGGCAAACGAAGAATTAAAAATATAGTTGTTTGCAATTTAAACGTCCTAGTCTATAAATTGTTAACACCCTAATCAACGTATTCAAGATATACTTTGTTATGATTTTTTTATAGTAGTACATTATAGAAATATTATGGATAGTATTTCTTTTTGAGCCGGGTTGCTTTGTATCATTAAATATTTATTTTATTTCACATTACAATGTGTACATTTATTAACATCTAACCTTCACACATCGAGATACCTGCTGAGTTGCTGCTAGTCAAATGTACAGCAGAGATACCGCGGACGCATTTTTGCGTCTCCTGCACACCAACGTAAACTTTATAAAAGCTCAGTTAGCAGTGGAAACCTTTTTCAGCTCCAGTCACGTGCACACGACCGAATGAAGTTTGGAATCCGTGTGCACAATGTTTGGCGGAACGATGCGAGGATCTCAACAGTACCTCTAACCAGAATTGTCCTGCTGAACTGCGCTCCTACTGCAGGCCGCAGTGCGTTTGTGCAAACGGCTATTACAGGAACAACAATGACGTTTGTGTCCCGAAGAAATCGTGTCGTAAGTGAAATGTTATAGGACATTAACTAATATCTTGACTTTCCTAGGTTTCTTTATGTGTTAAATCGATGATCTGTTATGGTGATAGTATGTCTGCCTATTAACCGTAAGGAAGAGTTTCACATGGTCCACACATTTTTTGAGGTTATGTACTTCTATTCTTGTACTAAAGTATTTATTGGAATACTTCCGGAAATTCATTTAAAGCTCATCGTTTTTTAAGTTAAAATTTTAACACAAACTATTATTTCTAAACAGCTGGTCAGTGTCCGGTGCCCGCCAGGTGTAGACCTACCTGCTCTGTGCCGAATCCACCGAACTGTCCACCTTACAAGCAGCCTACTGAGAACGAGGACGGATGTCGATGTCAACCAGGGTACATCTTGTCTGAAACAGAAGGGAAATGTGTTAAAATAGAAACCTGCCCTAGTAAGTTTTGTGGTCATCATGCAAAAAATCGTTTTAAAGTTACAGTTTGGTATACATGACACTAACAGAGCAGAAACGGGTGCTCATCATACGGGACTTCTTGTCGAACCGCTCTTTTCGGTATCAACTCGAAGGAGCCCGTTCTGCCCCGTGGCAACTCACGGCTGGAGTACCGCAAGATTCCGTCCTCTAGCCGCTCCTATTTAGTTTATTTATCAATGGCATTCCCCGGTCGCCGCCAACCTAATTAGTCTGATTCGCTGATGACACAACCGTTTACTACTCGAGTAGGAACTACTCTCTAATCGCAAGTATGCTCCAGAGCGAAGCCGTAACCCTCGGACAGTACCTGGTAACCGTACCGTCGTACTGGGCAAAGAGCCCGCTAAGTTTCTCGCCGGATCTTCTCAGTGGGTCGCGATTCCGATCCGGTAGTAGATTTATTCGCCCACTTGTCCTGGTGAAACTGGAGAGGCATCCGGGCTATCAGTAATCCATCATTCATAAAAAAAACGGAAACGTGCATTACGCAGTATTATTGCTAGTTCAGTCAGAAAAAAACTGTAAGCGTTATGACTATTGTCCTGTCAACGATAATCGTGGAGTTATAATTTGTGAAGGCTTTCCATTAGCCCCCTGTTACTCTGGATTCCTAGAGTTTTGAGTAACGATATAACGACGGATTATATATAAACGTGCCTGTCAGGAAGCATCATGCCTTTCGTTTTGAAGAATGGTATCGCCATTATTCCAAAAAACTGAGTTGAGTCGACGTCTTCTGGTGGATATCGAACACGTAAACACGTAAACGTAAAGTTCTGATAGTTTATGGCAGCCTTTTCCAAAGAGTGCGATAACGTCCCCTTGTGGGCGCTGCAGGCCTAAAGGGGGGCGGTAAGAGACCCAGAAAAAAAATGGGAGCGTTGTGTAGAGACGTGGGAGGCGATTTGTAATTTCATGTAGGATGACTCTTAGACACCGATTGAGCTCTCGCTAAAGTGGTTTTTAAGTAGGTGAAAAAATGGGGGCACAAAAAGTAATTTATTCTCAAAGTGGGCAGTATACAAAATAATAGGTTGGGGAAAAGTTTATTCGTATTTTTTATGAAAATTCACAACATTTTTTAATATAGTTTATTTACATTTAACTAAAGTACCATTTTGTTCGATAACTTTTTGCCATCTTGTAATTTTAACACACAAATGTTTTTAAACAGCTGGTCAGTGTCCGGTGCCCGCCAAATGTAGACCTACTTGTTCTGTGCCGAATCCACCGAACTGTCCACCTTACAAGCAGCCTACTGAGAACGAGGACGGATGTCGATGTCAACCAGGGTACATCTTGTCTGAAACAGAAGGGAAATGTGTTAAAATAGAAACCTGCCCTAGTAAGTTTTGTGGTCATCATGCAAAAAATCGTTTTAAAGTTACAGTTTGGTATACATGACACTAACAGAGCAGAAACGGGTGCTCATCATACGGGACTTCTTGTCGAACCGCTCTTTTCGGTATCAACTCGAAGGAGCCCGTTCTGCCCCGTGGCAACTCATGGCTGGAGTACCGCAAGATTCCGTCCTCTAGCCGCTCCTATTTAGTTTATTTATCAATGGCATTCCCCGGTCGCCGCCAACCTAATTAGTCTGATTCGCTGATGACACAACCGTTTACTACTCGAGTAGGAACTACTCTCTAATCGCAGGTATGCTCCAGAGCGAAGCCGTAACCCTCGGACAGTACCTGGTAACCGTACCGTCGTACTGGGCAAAGAGCCCGCTAAGTTTCTCGCCGGATCTTCTCAGTGGGTCGCGATTCCGATCCGGTAGTAGATTTATTCGCCCACTTGTCCTGGTGAAACTGGAGAGGCATCCGGGCTATCAGTAATCCATCATTCATAAAAAAAACGGAAACGTGCATTACGCAGTATTATTGCTAGTTCAGTCAGAAAAAAAACTGTAAGCGTTATGTTAAGCACTATTTTAAGGAACCTCCCATTGTAGTCCCGGTTTGGTCGATCCACCGCATTGAGCCTTTTCTACTAGTTAGATACATATATCCTTTTTATCTTAGTTAGTAATTAAAAGGAGAAATACTACTGAGTTTCTCGCAAAATTGTCTCAGTGGGTTGCAATTTCGATCCGATGGTAGATTCTGCGAAGCATTGCTCTTGCTAGAGCCTTTGTTAGGACATTCTCTCTAGTTGAGCCCCGTGAGCTCACCTACAAGTCACAGCGCAGCTGGAATAGACCCTTAGTCTATCAGCGAATAGGTAAGAAAAAGTAGAATAAATGATATATTTTATTGTAAAATGTGGGCGAAGCGAGGGTGTCTACGGCGCGTTTTATATTTGGCTATTACCGGAGTCCCATATTCATGAAAATATGACTGTCACCACCCGCTTTGAGTCATTACGTCGAAAAATCAATTACTTCCATTTCAACCATGAAACTGGAACACTTCGCGCCAAAAACAAGTTTGGTTATTGAGATGAACTGAATTTTGTTAATATTATTTGATTACTCATCTAAGTCGGTTTACATTTTGTGTTGTGTGATAAAAAAATGTATAAATGGATTTTGGTAATGTGTTATATATAATTAATTGTCCACTTCTGTTATCATAGCTATAAGTAACTGAAGAATATATTTTAGGTTCGTGTTCGGGTAACGAAACGCGCGTATACTGCAAGGCTGGCTGTCCCACTGACTACTGTCCAACAAGCGACAGCCGCGCTGTAATTGCTTGCGATCCCCCCTACCCATGTAATCCGGGCTGCGTTTGTAAACCAAATTATCGACGCCTGAGTCAGGATGACAAGCGATGTGTGCTGACCACAGACTGTCGTAAGTACAACATAGAGTATAGTAAAAATTGTTTTATTGGGCATTGCGGTGATATCGTCTGGTTGTGGTAGGGCGTCATGTGAGCTCCTAGGGGTAGGTTCCTAGGGGTAGGTTCTTCAAACGAGGCTTGAGGAGGAGAGTACTTACTAGTAGGCAGCGACTGGCCCTGCCTCTGGCATTGCTGAAGTCCATGTGCGACGGTAACCACTCACCAGCAAACCTGTCCTTTCTGCCGTTAAGTAGTAACGCATCTAGGTTGGAAGGGCGGGGCAGCAGTTGTACCATAGAACTAACACTAAGAACTCAGGTGTTTTATTTTTGTTGCTCAGATTGATCAAGACAAATATGAAAGATGATATAAATGTTGATGGAATAAGTCCTTGTGAAAACAATTTTTAAACGTTTCCCGGTATTAATTGCTTTTAAATTTAATTATAGCGACAATGATTTATTGTAGAAGGGTCCAATGAGAAATCCTATGAGACCGTATTTTACTTAAAATTTCTAAGTTCTTAAACATTAAGGCGAACACAATTGAGAAATATAAATAAATCCGAGTGGGACGAAATAAAATGGCTTACTGAATAGCCCTGTGAAACAGGTTGGATTTACTCGTATTAGGAACACCTTGGACTAGTATTTATCGATAGCTCCTTTGAAGTTAAAGTATATTGTTATGTAAATAAATATATAAATATCAGAGTTAAGAAGGGTATCTATTAAGGCTCAAGAAACATTTAGTATTCTGGGGTTACTTGAATGGATACTTAAATACCAATAATATGACTCTACCACAATTATTTTCGTGAAATATGATTCAAAAGTCACGTTATATATTGATCATGATATTTTCCAATATCGTGAGGAAAACTTATTCAAGAATTGAGATTTATTAGATATTGCCATAATAACTTTATATCAACAAGAACTTATAGCTTTAACATTTTTTCTACTAAGTATGAGAAAAAATGTATCAGATAGAGTGTGAGATGTGTAGATATCAGAGGTTCACTGGCAACTTAAGATATTAACGGGATTTAAATGTGAGTTAAAAACCTATTTTAGCTCCAGTGAAGTGCACACGACCGAATGAAGTTTGGAATCCTTGTGCACAATGTTTGGCGGAACGATGCGAGGATGCCAACAGTCCCTCTAACCTGAATTGTCCTCCTCAGCTGCGCCCTTACTGCAATCCGCAGTGCGTGTGTGCAAACGGCTATTACAGGAACAACAATGACGTTTGTGTCCCGAAGAAAGCTTGTCGTAAGCGCAATATTATATTCATAATTTGGTAATAGTGTGTTTTAGAGTCTAATTTGTTCACATTCATTCTTAACGTAACTTCGTTTATATCTCCTCCAAGTCTTGAGTACCGATATAACGACGGATTGTGAGTGTACACTTGTATATAAGCGTGCCTGTCAGGAAGCCTTTTGGTTTGAAGGATGGTATCACCATTATTCCAAAACAACAGTGTTTGAGCTGACGTCTCCTGGTGGATACCGAACACGATTAAAGTTCTGATGTCTATGGGCTTCAGTATCTATTTTTTAAAAGATAAGGTGAGAGCTAGTGTACTTCTAAGTGGTAGGAAAAATGTTTGAAATATTTCCTTCTGTCTCATCGTAAGTACACATAATTATACGTCCCATAAGTACACGTGCTAAGTACACATAATTTTCAAATTTTAACACACAAATGTTTCTAAACAGCTGGTCAGTGTCCGGTGCCCGCCAGGTGGAGACCTACCTGCTCTGTGCCGAATCCACCGAACTGTCCACCTTACAAGCAGCCTACTGAGAACGAGGACGGATGTCAATGTCAAGAAGGGTACATCTTGTCTGAAACAGAAGGAAAATGTATTAAAATAGAAGAATGTCCTAGTAAGTCACTTTGACATTGTAAATAATAATTTTATACCAATAACGAAATAAAATTCGATAACGTACGTAAATCATCACGATCGATATACTATTCACACATTACGAGATTTTTCAAAACTTCTGATCTATTATCACGTACAAGTATATTGTCATGAATAAGCCTGATATTGTGGTAATTGGTATTGGTCTGCGCGTCGAGCAGTGTTGGTTAATATCACCGTTCCGCCTGAGGAGAGAGACCTCGTGAAGGCAGAAAAGGACAAATTAATAAAATGTTTAGTTTGTCAAATTAATAGTTTAGTTTGGTCCACAAGACCATATTACCATATGGCAGGTTGACTCAACCATCATTGTTCCAATAGTTGTGTCGGTGCACGGTTTGATAACGAAAAGTTTCGAGCAACACGCTGAGAAAATCTTGTTAAATAGCTGGGTTAGGGGCCTGGTGCAGAAAGCAGCAATTCTTGACATGGCGCGTATCGTGAGGAGGTTTCTCAATATGTGAAGCCATAGGCGGTGGTGGTTCGTGCTATAGACACCTGCATCATGGGCAATTTTTTTCTACATTCTTACATTGGTGGACGAGTTCACAGCCCACCTGGTGTTAAATGGTTAATGGAGTCCATAGACATCTATAACGTCAATGCCGCCACAAACCTTAAGATATGAGGTCTAAGGTTTCAGTATAGTTACAGCGGCTGCCCCACCCTTCAAACCGAAACGCATTGCTGCTTCACGACAGAATGAGACGGGGCGGTGGTACCTACCCGTGCGAACTCACAAGACATCCTACCACCAGTAATTACGCCAATTATAATTTTGCGGGTTTGATTTTTATTAAATACATGATGTTTTTATTCCTTCACTGTGGAAGTCAATCGTGTACATTTGTTGAGTATGTACGTATTCCATTAGAAAAATTGGTACCCGCCTGCGGGATTCGAACACCGGTACATCGCAAGATACAAATGCACTGGACGTCTTATCCTTGAGGCCACGACGAGTTCAGACTATCAGTTGTAAAATTGAGTTGATTTATGCTTAGGAACATCAGGCTGTAATGGAGATCCACATGCACAAGTGACGAAGTGTCCGTTACCTTGCCCGTCCACTTGCAAATCACCAGAGGCTATAGGTTGTAAGAAAAGGTGCGATCCGGTTGGATGTGAATGCGAGTATGGCTACATACTATCAGATATAGGAGGAAAATGTATTAAGCCTGAAGAATGCCCAGGTTAGTTCTATAACTCTTTATAATAATTTTGACATATGAACTGAAAAAAACAAACAATAGTATAGTAAAGTAGCACCAATATGAATTTTTTAAACCAATGACGTAGTTATTGTATTTAGTTTCTTATAAATATACTGATATACTTATAACTATACCTATGAATACTAGGTATACTATATATAAAAACTATACTGAGACCTTAGAACTTGAACTTATATCTCGAGGTGGGTGGCGCATTTACGTTTTGGACGTCTATGGGCTCCAGTAACCACTTAACACCAGGTGGGCTGTGAGATCGTCCACACATGTAAGTAATAAAAAAAACTAAAAAAATACGTAGAAAGTGAAAACATGTTAAGGAGCTATTTAAACCCCTATTTTGAAACATTCTTTATAGGTGCTCCACTTGTATTGGTCTTACCGTGATGTTATATAGCCTATAGCCTCCCTCAATAAATGAGCTATCTAACACTGAATTTTTCAAATCGGACCAGTATAGTTCCTGATATTAGCGCGTTCAAACAAACAAACTCTTCAGCTTTACAATTTTCGTAGGCGGAAACCCGTGTGGATCAAATGGTACATTTGTTAAATGCAAATCAAGGTGTCCGAATGACTATTGTCCTGTCAACGATAATCGTGGAGTTATAATTTGTGAAGGCTTTCCATTAGCCCCCTGTTACTCTGGATGTATTTGTAAGCTAAATTATAAAAGACGCAGCGAGACAGACCAAAGATGCATTCTGTATACAGATTGCCGTAAGTTACAATGTTTTTCAAATAAACTCGTAATACTCTATAATTAATCTAATTTAAATAGTTGATAAGCGCGGCAAATTCTAATTCTAATAATGTCGTTTTCTTTGGTATTCGCGCAATATGATTATCCCTATTTCTACGGCTTAAGCACAAAAATTATAAAGTAACAAGTCATCGTAGAACACAAGATATTTGACAGGTGTCTGAATATGGCTAACGACGTTTTCAAAATAAGTTTGCATATAGGTATGCAAGTTTCGAACAAAAACATTGAGGCTATCGGCTTACCGAACAACTTAGGTACATTCGCTCAGTAAAATATCATGCTTTTGTCATTATTTCCCAAAAGTACCGAGGTATACGGAGATATTTTTTTATAGCAGTTAATTTTAGTAAATATGTTTATCGAAAATATTAATGATAACTGACCCGGCAGACTTCGTAGTGCCTCAATCGATAAATAAAAGATCTAAAATTTATTTAATTCTGAGAATTTTCATATTTATCTACCTTTTAAACCTTCTATGGACTTCGACAAATAATTCATGACCAAAATTAGCCAAATCGGTCTAGCCGTTCTCGAGTTTTAGCGAGACGAACGAACAGCAATTCGTTTTTATAGATAATATATAGATTGGTGGTAGATTTTAATTAAAATATGCAGTGATCGCTGGAAATGATACTCCATTTCCATTCAATGCAATTACATATGTAAATTTGCAAAGGCATACAATCCGGTCCCTGATGTTTTTTTTTAAAACCCAAGAGCTCTGGATGTCCTTAAAGATGAGTCCAGACCTAACTTTTGAATTTTTCGCGTCCATATTCCGAGTCTGGGAACAACTTTTATTCTAATGACTACATGGGCGCTGTTTGTAAGCATTTCCAAAATAAACCCGCATCTGGGATGCATTGATTTCTGAAGCCCTATATCTTGGTTACCGCCCTTCAAGACAAGAGATCGAAGTTTTTCTTGTAAAGTGTACTGTGTAACTGACTTTTATAAAAGGAACCCACGACTGCTTAATGACAGAAATAGTAAGCTCTCTTACCACGACTTTCTATGGAAAAAATCATGAAAGAAGAGAAGGACTTTTTTGAGGCTTTCTTATCGTGAATGCTTGTAACGGCATGTCGATGAATCATATTTTTCCACGTAATCTGTGTCTTCGGTTTTTGTTTCCGATTAATCAAGGTGTTCTTTTTTTTGGCAGCTCCTGTAAATTGCAGTAGACCCAACGAAGTCTGGAGCCCGTCACCACCTCCCTGTTTACAAGAAACCTGCGATGATGTCGACCTTCCTCCGGTACCTTGTAACGAGTTTATAAAAAGCAGTCCTAGATGCATCTGCAAAGATAATTACTTCAGGAACGATAGCGGAATCTGCGTTTGCGCTCAGGAATGTCGCGACATAAACGCGCGTGATTATAATCGCAAGAAGCGTGATAGTAAGAATTTAATCTTATTTTTCAATTAAATGTTAAAGATGTGCTAAAATTCCTACTTATTTAATACGTTTCGATGTCCCGAACACTAAATTAAACAGTGTAATAAGTTATTCTTTTTTGGAACTTGATTAGGTGCAATTTTATTTCTTTTTTAATACTGTTTAAATGATTAAAAAAATTAATTCTAACGGTTTTGTTTTGATTCACCCGATTACAAACAATACAGAGCGCTAAATACACAATAAGCTTCAAAACGTAATCATTATGTAGTACATTAATACGATAGATATCGTTGGGTTCAATCAGCGGAAACTGTGAAAGCGATTATTGTAATTTTTTAATTGAAATTAAAATTTGTTGCATATTTCATGCCGAGGTTTTAAAACTGTGCAAATATCATATGAGCAAACCTTCCTTTTGGTATTTATTAATCGATGGCGAAACAGCATTTCAATTTATCTGAAGGCTATCAATATGGAAACACGAATTACGTTTTTGTTTTTGGAATTCAGAAAAGTATTAAGTTTGGAATGTTGTATCTTTATTACTACCTGGCAAACTTAATTATTACTACCTGGAGCCACTGCGGTCATCCACAGTGCGTTTCCAGAGGTCTTTTTTGCCACGTACCATCCGGCTATGGAATGAGCTCCCCTCCACGGTGTTTCCCGAGCGCTATGACATGTCCTTCTTCAAACGAGGCTTGTGGAGAGCATTAAGCGGTAGGAAGCGGCTTGGCTCTGCCCCTGGCATTGCTGAAGTCCATGGGCGACGGTAACCACTCACCATCAGGTGGGCCGTATGCTCGTCTGCCTACAAGGGCAATAAAAAAAAAAACTTTTTTACAATAATAACATTATACACCAGTCCAAATTTCAAATAACAACAACTGAAATTATGGGGCACAGTATTAAGTGAAAACCACATTAACATAACGAATGATATTTTTTTTACTTGTTTATTTAAAGAAAACCTTATTTGTTATCAAATTTGAATAAAAATGCTTCGCTTTGCACAACTGTTAATTAAACACCAGTTAACACGATGACGAGCACAATAATAAAATGCGCTAGTATATAAATTGGATTTTGAATTGTATTAAACAGTTTTGCCAAGATGTTGTTCGTATGTGTTAGTGTGTTAGTATTCATATGCTCTTCAACCGCGCACAATACAACTGAAGGTGAGTTTCAATAATTTAAATTGATAAAAGAAGATAAAAGTAACATGTTTCGACATTTTTTGTATTATTTAAAAAAATACATTGTAACTAATGTGGTATTTATCAGCTGTTGTGTGATTTAATTGTTAGCACATACCTTATTAAGCGTCTTAATCTTAAAACTAGTTTCGAAGTTGACTTCTAACACAAATCATTATAGTTAATACGTGCATACACGTATAAGGAAAATAATGCTTGACGTCATTCTATTTTTAGTTGTTTATTTTTTTTATATTTAATCAACTTCACATATCTGTTGTGTATAATATAAAATCCGGTAAGGTATTTACCGAAGACTGTGCAGCAGTGTTATCTGCGTATTAAACCACCTTAGGTTGGGGGCACCCGCCACTAGGGCCCTAAAATTCCTTGGGCCCACGGTCTGCTCCCAACACCTTGCAAATCGTCATGTCCCACATACCTCGTAGTAGGCTCGGCCCTCGTCCCGAAAAAAAAAAGTGTTCACACAGTATTGTCCTGCACGTTTTCTTTGTATTCGTTATTTTAACGTACAATCACCCGGATGTTCCATATGGTTAGATTTTCATTTGTGTAAAAACGAACGTGTGAACGAGTACTATGCGCGACTGCAACGTTAAAGTGCATTCGATTCGCTTGACAAATCGTCGTAACGCCTTTGAGTATTCGTTTAAACGCTTAAGCGGTATACGATTTTTTGCAGTACAAACGACATGACTTGAATGGTTCTATGTACAATACAGGTTGAGCCCCGAAAGCTCACCTACAAGTCACATCGCAGCTGGAATAGCCCCTTAGTCTATCAGCGAATAGGTAGAAAAAAATAAAATAATTGATATTATATTTTATTGTAAAATGTAGGTGACGCGAGGGTGTCTACGTCGTGCTTTATATTTGGCCATTACCCAAGTCCCATATTCATAAAAATATTACTGTCACCGCCCACTTTGAGCCATGAGGTCGAAAAATAAATTGTGGCCATATCGATCATGAATCTGGAACGCATGACTAATTCGCGCCAAAAACAAGTTTGATTATTGAGATAAATTGAATTTTGTTAATATCATTTAATTACTCATCTAAATCGGCTTACATTTTGAGTTGCCCGATAAAATATTTATATATGGATTTTGGAAATATGTTATGTATATGTGTGTCCACTTCTGTTATGATAGCTATAAGTAAATGAAGGATATATTTTAGGTCCGTGCAATGCAAACGAAACGCTCGTATCCTGCAAAGCTGGCTGTCCCACCGACTATTGTCCAACAAGCGACAGCCGCGCTATAGTTGCTTGCTCACCCCCCTATCCATGTAATCCGGGCTGCGTTTGTAAACCAAATTATCGACTCTTGAGTCAGGATGACAAGCGATGTGTGCCGACCACAGACTGTCGTAAGTACAACATAGAGTATAATAAAAATAGTTTTATTGGGCATTGCGGTGATATCTTCTGGTTGTCGTAGGGCATCTTGTGAGCTTCTAGGGGTAGGTTCCTAGGAGTAGGTTCTTCAAATGAGGCTTGTGGAGATTACTTAACGGTAAGCAGCGACTTGGCTCAGAGCTTGGCATTGCTGAAGTCCATGGGCGATGGTAACCACTCACCAGCAAACCTGTCCTTTCTGCCGTAAAGCAGTAACGCGTTCAGATTAGAAGGGCGGGGCAGCAGTTGTACCATAGAACTGACACTAAGAGCTCAATTGTTTTTTATTTTTGTTGCTCAGATTAATCAAGACAAAAATATGAAAGATGATATAAATGTTGATGGAATAAGTCCTTGTGAAAGCACTTCTTAAGTGTTTCCCGGTATTAATTGCTTTTATATTTAATTATAACGACACTGATTTATTGTAGAACGGTCCAATGAGAAATCCCCTGAGGGCGTATTTTACTTATAATTTCTTTGTTCTTAAACATTAACGTGAACACAATTGAGAAATATAAATAAATCCGAGTGGGACGAAATTCAATGGCTAACTGAATGGCTCTGCGAAACAGGTTGGATTTACTAAAGCCTATTAGGAACACTTTGGACTACTATTTATGGATAACTTCTTTGAAGTTAAAATATATTGTAATGTAAATAAATTTATATCCAGAGATAAGAAGGGTATCTATTAAGGCTCGAGAAACATTTAGTATTCTGGGGCTGTTTGGATGGATACTTAATGAAACACCAATAATATGACTAAATGTATCTACCACAATTATTTTCGTGAAATTTGATTCAAAAGTCACACTTTATACATTATTTTTTCGAATACCGTAACGAAACTTATTCATGAGCTGTGTAAATAATTAGAATACCATCAGATATTGCCATAATAACTTTGATATCAACAAAAACTTATAGCTTTAACATTTTTTCTACTAATTACGAGAAAAAAATATATTTCCTAACCGCTTCTATTCTAATATTAATAATCGATATCAGAGGTCGTCGTTTGAAGTCGTCGTGGCCTAAAGGATAAGACGTCCGGTGCATTCGTGTTGAGCGATGCACCGGTGTTCGAATTCCAGGCGGGTACCAATATTTCTAATGAAATACGTACTCAACAAATGTTCACGACTGACTTCCACGGTGAAGGAATAACATCGTGTAATAAAAATCAAACCCGCAAAATTATAATTTGTGTAATTACTGGCGGTAGGACCTCTTGTGAGTCCGTACGGGTAGGTACCACCACCCTGCCTATTTCTGCGGTGAAGCAGTAATGCGTTTCGGTTTGAAGGGTGGGGCAACCGTTGTAACTATATTTGATACTTTAGAACCACGGTTTATCTATTCCGTGCTTAGAACTGATATCTCAAGGTGGGTGGCACATTTACGTTGTAGATGTCTATGGGCTCCAGTAGCCACTTAACATCAGGTGGGCTGTGAGCTCGTCCACCCATGTAAGCAATGAAAAAAAACTTCTATTGTAGTATTATTAATCGATATCAGAGGTTCAAGGTGCTTTTTTTTTGCCAGCTCCTGTAAATTGCACTAGACCCAACGAAATCTGGAGCCCGTCACCACCGCCCTGTTTACAAGAAACCTGCGATGATGTCGACGTTACTCCGGTACCTTGTAACGAGTTTATACAAAGCAGCCCTAGATGCATCTGCAAAGATAATTACTTCAGGAACGATAGCGGAATCTGCGTTTCCGCTCAGGAATGTCGCGACATAAATGAGCGTACGAAGAATCGCGAGAAGCGTGACAGTAAGAAATAGATCTAATTCTTCAATTAATTATGTTGAAGTTATGCTAAAATTCCTCCTTATTTAATACGCTTCGATGTCTCGAGCACGAAATTAAACAGTGTAATAATTATTTTTCAGAACTTGATTAGGTGCAATTTTGTTCTTTTTTTAATGCTGTTTAAAGTATAATATGTTTCATTAGAAAAAATTCTTCTGTTTTGTTTTGATTCACCCGATTATAAACAATACAGATCACTAAATACACAATAAGCTTCAAAACGCAATCATTATGTAGTACATTAATACCATAGTTATTGTTGGGTTCAATCAACGGAAACCATGAAAGCGATTTTTGTAATTTTTTAATTGGAATTAAAATTTGTTGCATATTTCATGGCGAGGTTTTAAAACTGTGCAAATATCATATGAGCTAACCTTCCTTTGGAATAGGTATGGAAGCATGAATTACGTTTTTGTTTTTTGAATGCAGAAAAGTATTGTATTAAAAGTATATGTGTTTATTTAAGTACGAGTATTTGTATCTATAAATATTATGTATGTTATATATACAAATATGTTTAAGTAATATCACCTTCACAGTACACCTACCAAGCTTCATCTCTGCACTCCCCTAAGGTAGACTGTTAGAGAATGCCTATGGCATTAAGTCTGTCTTTATACTTTCTAGTATAAGAATTTATAAATAAATAAATAAATAAAAAGTATTAAGTTTGGAATGTTGTATCTTTTTTTACAATACTAACATTGAACACCGGTCTAAATTTTAAATAACCACGACTGAAGCTATGGGGCACAGTATTATGTGAAAACCACATTAGCATAACGAATGATATTTTTTTTACTTGTTTATTTAAAAGAAAACCTTATTTGTTAACAAATTTGAATAAAAATGCTTCGCTTTGCACAACTGTTAATTAAACAACAGTTAAAACGATGACGAGCACAATAATAAAATGCGCTAGTATATAAATTGGATTTTGTACTGTATTTATTGTAGTTTTGCCAAGATGTTGTTCGTATGTATTAGTGTGTCAGTATTCATATGCTCTTCAACCGCGCAAAATACAACAGAAGGTGAGTTTCAATAATACACACATGTGTACATGTGTATAATACATACGGTTTGAAGGGTGGGGCAGCCGTTGTAAATATACTGAGACCTTAGAACTTGTATCTCAAGATGGGTGGCGCATTTAAGTTGTAGATGTTTATGGGCTCCAGTAACCACTTAACACTAGGTGGGCTGTGAGCTCGTCCACCCATCTAAACAAAAAAAATACATAATGAACAGTCATAGAAGATGATAAGAGACTTTCAAATGTCGTGAGGCGAAATCACAGGTGACATTGTAATGTTGGCCTGCTCGCAAAAAAATTGTCATTTTGTCATTGCTTATTAAGCTGGGCTACGATTTACGCCCACAGAACTCACGACAAATCGTACACGTGTAAATGGTTAACGACATTTAAAATCCACAAGAATGTCAACAGTCGCGCACTCAAACCAAATTACCGATTAATTTTGTTTACTTTAATTTCAGTACCGGAATGTGGTTATAACGAAGTACTGTCGGATTCCAAAATAGTGTGTCCCCCTCAGACTTGTGAGAGCATATACACTACGTATTTATGTGAGTCTAGGGGTGATGAAGTCGGATGTAACTGTTTATCTGGATATTTGAGGAACAGCAGTGGTATATGCATTCCCAGTGAGGAATGTTTTCAAGGTGGGTTTGTAAAAAAATATGTATTTAGAGTTTTATGCACTTGGAATATTAAGTTCTGATTCTTAGTCCTATTTCTTACTGGTGGTAGGACCTCTTGTGAGTCCGCACCGGTAGGTACCACCACCCTGCCTATTTCTGCCGTGAAGCAGTAATGGGTTTGGGTTTGAAGGGTGGGGCAGCCGTTGTAACTATACTTGAGACCTTAGAACTTGTATCTAAAGGTGGGTGGCGCATTTACGTTGTAGATGTCTATGGGCTCCAGTAACCACTTAACACCAGGTGAGCTGTGAGCTCGTCCACACATGTAAGCAATAAAAAAAAATTCCTAAACATTACTACAGATTTTGAATACTTGAATCATTGGATTCCTTCAGTTGTGGGAAAGAGGTAAAGTATATCATTTTTATATTTATGATAATGACCGCAATAATTATTTACTAAAAACTATCAAATAACTTAAAATGTAAAACAAAATAAATGAATGAATATAACAAAACATATTTATCCCGTCATATTCATCTATCCCGCCCTTCTACGGCGTTTCTCGAGCGCTATGACATGTCCTTCTTCAAACGAGGCTTGTGGAGAGCACTTAACGGTAGGCAGCGGCTTAACTGTGACCCTGGCATTGCTGAAGTCCATGAGCGACGACAACAACTCACCATGGTGAGCCATATGCTCATCCGCCTACCAGAAATATTAAAATATATATATATACTAATTAATAGTAAAGTGTAGTCTTATAAATAAATATATAACATGTGCTAGTAAAGACGGGGACAGGTAAAGAAATAAACATATTTCCATGTCATTTTAACGTCTCTGGTTGTTCACGAAACTTGAAACCAGATTACACGACTTCAAGGTACGATAGGGAGTATCATCAACCTATGCGGCCTTATCATAAACCCCACAGTCAGTGAATATCAATAATTTGGCAGGTAATTATGTATTTTCCAACAAAAATTGTTATCTGTTTACGGGATTTGAACGCCAATAAATAATCGCATCGCTTGATGTCGGACGACTTTGCAGACTTTAATTCAAATTATAATAATATATCTATTGTTAAGAGCTGCCACGTGTCGTTTGTCAGTCTTTCATAAAAATGATAGTAAAATCCTTTTCATTTTCTTCCCTTCTACTAGCACTAATATTGTGCTTGTACAATAATTTTTTTTACTCATTGTTGATTATCCTGACTGACGTTTTCTGTTTCGGTCTATAGAGTTTCTTAAAAACTTCTGCATAAGATTTATATTTAGATTGCGAAAATAATCCTATCTCTCCCTTTCGTATATAACTCGACTTTTATCTTTAGTCTTTCCTGCAATACTCGTAGTCTCCTTTTCCTAAGGAATTCAGCGTTTGTTTTTCTTGTAGCGGAGAAATGCTCGCTTCCTTCTAAATGTATACCGACATGCGCAATTCCGAATCCCAATTGTTCCTACGTTCAGGAAGTTTCCTTCAAAAGAGAAGCCTGTTATTGTAAGCCTGGTTTCATATTATCCGAGGTCAATGGGGAATGCATTAAGATCGAAAATTGTCCAAGTACGTACAATAATTATGTTTACGCCAATTTTGTTTTAGTCAAAATACAGTATTGACATCCCTAAATTTACGAATGATACATTTTCAATTGAGGAAAAAATAGGGACATTATAATGTTATTTTTAAACCCAGCGTGGCTAAGGAATGATACTACATATAAGGAATAATACCTATAGTTTTAGGATTGGTAGATGAAAAGTTTCAGTAGAACCAATCCCTGAAAAATGTAAATCATGGTACTATAGAAATATTGGTTTAGCTGTTGAAATTCAAGTATCACTGCTTTTTAAAGACTAAAAAAGCTTATCAAAGATTTGGTTGTTTTTTTTTTAAGAAGAACAACAATGCGGGGTAAACGGAACATATTCCGATTGCGGCTTTCGATGCCCAAACCAGTATTGTCCTGAAGACGACAGTTTACTCCAAATAGCGTGTAAACCTGGGCGACCCTGCCCACCTGGCTGCGTATGTAAGGATAACTACAAAAGAAAAAGTCGCGAAGAAGACGATGTTTGCGTACTCGCCTCAGATTGTCGTAAGATTCATTTTGTTAAATACCCATTAATGATTAAATAATCAGTAACAGCGTGTTGTATCTTTTTTTCTTATGCAAATAGTAGGTACGGAATTTTGAGGGATCGTACGGGTAGGTACCACCATCTTGCTTATTTCTGCCGTGAAGCAGCAATTTTAAAGGCGGTGTCACTTAGAACTCACGTTTCATGGTGGGCGACAGCATTCACGTTGTCGATGTCAATTGGCTTCGATATCCACTCAACATTGGCCATGCCGTGAATTACTTCACACCTATAAGCAGTAGAAAAAATTTACAAATTCTTTTGCATATCAATGAAAGAGCTAATTTATTCTGTTAATTTTACATTAATTTTATCCTATATGTTTTAGCACCCGTCAATTGCACTAGGCCTAATGAAGTTTGGAATCCCTGTTCGCAATGTTTGGCGGAACGATGCGAAGATGCTAACACTACTAATTGTGATGATCCGCCCGGCTCAAACTGTGACCCTAGATGCGTGTGTGTAGATGGGTATAAAAGAAAGAAAGACGACGTTTGTGTCCCGGAGAAAGCGTGTCGTAAGTAAAATAATTAGACTAAACAAAAAAACTTAAAAAAATAAACAGTTTCTCTTTAATGCATTTTTTTAAGACTTTTTGTGTAGGTTTCGATCTGATAACGTCTTATAAATCGATGAACCTCAGCTGCACGCACGATAAAGTGTCACGTTCCGCCTGAGCCTGAATGTGCAAGCGAGAGCGCGGAACAAGCGATAGAGAAAGACGATCGGCCCAAGCTTTGGCTTGTGACTCATTTATCTCTCTACTCGCGTGACGCTAGAGCGTCTGGCAGTTTGATTAGTTCTTAGACTTTACAAACAACCAATATATTTTTTTATACTTCTGATAAATGTACTTAACTATTACATATTCTTTTTACAGCTGGTCGATGTCCGATACCGATTGAATGTAGACCGACATGTGCTGTTCCTAATCCAAAAAAATGTTCTAAGTATAAATTACCTGCCAACAATGAAGATGGGTGTCAATGTAAGAAAGGATACGTTTTGTCGGAACTCGATGGGAAATGTGTTGCAATCGACAAATGTCCCAGTAAGTTTGGTAACACTGTTTACATATCCAGATTTTAGCTTCTTAATAGAGGTATCACGGAAGATTATAGTTTTGTAACGTAAGTAATATCATCTATACTACTATACTAATATTATAAAGAGGAAAGATTTGTTTGTTTGTTTGTATTTAATAGGCTCCGAAACTACTGAACCGATTTGAAAAATTCTTTCACTGTTGGAAAGCTACGCTATCCCCGGGTGCCACAGACTATATTTATTATATTTAAAAAAAAAAATCTTTACATCGCGTGCGCTACTACCCAAGTGAAGCCGGGTCGGGCCGCTAGAAATAATATACAGATGTAGACTTTGAAACGTAAGGTCGAAATTTCGATTTTATTGTATCGAGGTTTTTCCAACATAATAACGGGGATTTTGTATGAGTTAAGGTGAGCGCCTATTAAGACTATTACTGCCAGCATGTTTATAGAATTTCCTTGTGTGATTTCATTACACGATGATGTTTCTACACCGAGCAAATCACTCAGGATAAAATGTTACATTTACAATTATTTAAAAGAAATATTGTCGGTCCTAAGATCATGCCTAGTTGCAGTTTGTTTGTAAGCGTTATTGAGTTTTCGTGACCCATAGCTCTATTTAAAACTACTTTTACGTTTAATATCGCGTTTTTTGATTGTCATTTCATAATTTCTGACATTTTAAATACTTTACAATTGATTTGTCAGTAACCACCGATAAACTAGTCTTAATTATGTACCTAGTTGCTCTTTGTTTTATTAGCCACCTTTTAAGGAACATCTTTTTTCCAAACTGTTTTAAGCTTTTGCCATATAATCATACTATTATTTTACGGGTTCTTACTCTAAAACTTACACATAACAGCCTGCCCTTGCTTGCCACAGACCCGAAATATCAGGAAATGATCGTGTAATGTGAATATTGTGTTTAGAACACGTTAAATAATGTTATGTATAACATATTTTATTTTATTATTTGGTTTCTCTTCTTCAACCGGTGTCTACCCAATTCTGAGTGTAGGTCTCTTCGAATGCACCCCATTCTCTTCGGTCTCTTGCTTTTCTCATCCAGTCTCTACCAACCACTATGACCAGGTCATCGGTCCACCTCGTTGGCTGTCTGCTCACGTTACGACTTCCAGCACGAGGTCTCCACTCCAGTACTTTTGTGCCCCACGGATTGTCAGTGCGACGGCATATGTGGCCGGCCCACTTCCACTTTTTCCGAGCAATCACTTTGACTGTCAGTCAAACCAGTTCTTCTGCGGATTTTGGTATTGCGCATTGTATCCCTTAAAGAAATGCCTAACATAGCCTGTTCTATGGCTCTGTGCATGACTTGCATTTTGGTCATAATATGCTTTGTGAGCTTTGTGAGCGATATTTGGTTTAGTCTATATATATAAAAATGAATTGCTGTTCGTTAGTCTCACTAAAACTCGAGAACGGCTGGAACGGTTTGGTTAATTTTGGTTTTGAATTATTTGTGGAAGTCCAGAGAAGGTTTAAAAGGTAGATAAATATGAAAATGCTCAGAATGAAACAAAGATAACAATTTTGTTTTTCCTTTGATGTGTCCCCCATTGGACGGATTCCTTTTGTTTGTTTTAAGTTTATTTGATACAAAAGTTTAGGTCTTTTATTTCTCAATTGAGGCACTACGAAGTCTGCTGGGCCAGCTAGTGCTTGATAAAGATTTAATTTGCTTTTACAGAAATGGGAGGTTGCAACGGTGATCCGCATGCGGTAATAAAAGAATGTCCGTTGGCTTGTCCATCTACTTGTGAGGCACCAGAGGCTAAGCCCTGTAAAAAGAAATGTGCTCCTGTCGGATGCGAATGCGAATCTGGTTATATACTTTCGGAAACAAAAGGCAAATGTATCAGCCCCGAAGAATGCCCAGGCTAGTAGCTCAATTATTAGTCTTGAAATATTTAAACTAAAAGATATTTTGGAACCATATGTAAAGTATTCGTCTAATATGATATTTAATAATAATAATAATAATTAATAATTTATTTATTAACCTTGAAACATTAGTTGGGTTTGTTCACAATATCCTTTAAAAGTGAATCACATTGAATTTCATAACAATTTATTTTCGCTTGTGTTACAACACGAAGAATTTTAGTTTAGCTATTATAAAATATCTGCAATTATTTGTCATTAAGTTTTTCAACAAAACCTTTTTTGTCCTATTCCCCCAAATAAAAAATATATCGTTTATTTTGATATTTGCGTTGAGACTTTAGTTACAACAGTTTCTATACTTTTTTATTTATCTATCATTTCGGTGAGTTGGCGAGCTCACGGCCCACCTGGTGTTAAATGGTTACCGGAGCCCATAGGCATCAACAAGGTAAATGCTACCACCCATCTTAACGCATAAATTCTAAGAACTATTTGTACAACTGTAAAACGACTGCCCAACCCATCAAACTGCAACGCATTACTGCTTCACGGCAGAAATAGGCAGGGTGGTGGTACCTACGAGTGCGGGTTTACAAGACACCATATCATCAATAATTACGCAAATTATAATCGTTGGTACTACGTTAATTTTGTTCTATATCTAGGTGGAAACCCTTGTGGTCCAAATGGTACTTACGTCCAATGTAAGTCCGGGTGCCCTACTGACTATTGCCCTGTGGATGATAACATGGGGATTTTGATTTGCGAGTATTTCCCGTTCAGCCCATGCTACTCTGGATGTATCTGCAAACTTAGCTATAAAAGACTTAGCACAGAAGATCCGAGATGTATCGCGTCTTGGGAGTGCCGTAAGTGGTTTTATTTATCATACCTAACGTTTAACGTAGTGATGTGAAATACCAACGCAATATGTTGGTAGAATCGAAATGTTTTTCTCTGCGATTCATACTTGAGACCTATTTCAGATGAAATGAACCATTTCTCAGGAGACCACTGCTCTTCATGATTTTTTGTTCGTAAATTATGAGTATTTGCAAAAAATATTTATTGCCACATTTTTCATAGACGAGTCATCGACATAAATTCTAAAGTCGACTTTATTTGCTTCTCCTCCCGATCCACTAACGGTGCTTTTAGGTACCTCAAGCACCGGTCACCGTTCTCGTCGAACCCGCCGCTTGCGACGAAGGGCTCGACGAGTAAATTAACCCTCAGACACAGCCCACTGAGTTTCTTGCCGGATCTTCTCAGTGGGTCGCGTTTCCGATCCGGTGGTAGATTCTGCGAAGCACGGCTCTTGCTAGGATTCGTGTTAGCAACGTCGTCAGGTTTGAGCCCCGTGAGCTCACCTACTAGTTAAGGTTCCGCTGAAATAGCCTCTCAAGGCTATCAGCATAGGTAGGAAGAAAAAAAAAATTTCTTCTATGTGGAGAGAGGGAGAGCTATTACTGGACACATAAAATGTAAATTAAATATTGTACACTGCTTGTAATTTATGGTAAAAACCACTTTATATATAGATGTACATAAGTCCATTGTATAATGTTCGATTAAATGAATATAATTTTATCGCTTTCAGCACCTGTGAACTGTACGAGACAAAATGAAGTTTGGGATCCTTCTCCTCCAGCTTGTTTATCGGAGTATTGTGAAGATGTCGACCGCCCTCCAGCTGTTTGCAATACACTAGTTTTTAACAATGAACCTAAATGTGTTTGTAAAGAGAATTATTTCAGGAATTCTTCAAGTATTTGCATAAGCGCCCAGGAATGTCGAGAGATTAACGCTTCAAAAACATAGCTGGATAACAAGAAGAAAGAATCTTTTTGTTTTGTTTATTTTACTTTATTTTTCATTCAATACAAACTAGAGCCATATATTTAAAAAAGTACTTGCATACGTATGATATTATAGTATACACAGACTTCAGGAGTTTTGTAAAATGTGCACAATATGCTGTCGAAAAACATGCAAAATTTCTCGAACAATAGAAGAGTGAGAGACTCAATGTGTCTCATGACTCTCATTTTAAACTTTAATATGTCTCTGGTTAAAATTATTTTTACGGTTAAAACGCGAATAGTTCCCAATCGGCGTTTAGTCCGGAAACTGTAAAGTATTCGGTTAAATCTTAGAAGTAGTTATAATTATGTCTACGACTCACTAAAGTCGACGAAAATACCATTCAAAATGTCTTTTTTTTTATTGCTTAGATGGATGGACGAGCTTACAGCCCACCTGGTGTTAAGTGGTTACTGGAGCCCATAGACATCCACAACGCAAATGCGCCACCCATCTTAAGATATAAGTTCTAAGGTCTCAAGTATAGTTACAACGGTTACCTTACCCTTCAAACCGAAACGCATCACTGCTTCACGGCAGAAATAGGCAGGGTGGTGGTACCCACCCGCGCGGACTCACAAGAGTTTTACCACCAGTCTATTGCAGATCAATTATAAAAACAATTTACAAGACACTGTATCTTGAATGGATAATTCAATTCAACTAAGAAGATTAACACCGCTTCGCCGACTCAAAATAGTTCCAATGAGGCTTAAGTTTCGTAAATGAAATAGGTGATTTGTTGGGATTTCTTAAAATTTGATTGCTTTGGTCCCATTTCGTACTGAACAGATTTGTATCTGTTGTATGCAAACAGATCGAGAGAGCTGGAGGAAATTACATTTATTTTCGTTGAAACTCCGTGTAAATAGACGTTGTTAATTTAAAACAAATTCCAACTAAAATTATTGTTGTTTTAATCGTAATCCATGCTAGTATATTAATAATAGTCTGGATATTTTAATTGTTGTTTTATTTGCTTTTAAACCTGTGAATGTTAAGAGAGTTTTTTCTATAGGTATATTAAATTTTGCAAATGCTATCCTCTTTCTACTCCTAAAAATATGTTTTTAAAATTTCATAGTGGTCGAGTATAGTATATATAGTAACTAGTTATAGTGTAAAAGCGTATTAAATAAACTCTCCTTTACATTTTTAATATTTAGAATGGATATTTTTCAGTTAATCTTTTATTACATTTGCTTGGTTCTCTTATTACATTATTATTACATTTGATAAAATTATATACCTTGTTATTTCTATAAGAAATATATTAAAAGTTCAATCTTGTACTGGTGTTTACTAAGTTGCATTTATTAAATTTATTATTGAAGTCTGGATATTATTATTTTTTTTAATTTTTTCTGTAAAATCGTCATGAAATTAACTAGCTTAAATGTTCATACAAAAACTAAATGTTTCTTAATTAATATCATGCTAAGACGCCATTTTGAACACGCAAGAGTATCTATCATATTGTTAATATTGACGTAGCATATGTCATGTCGCTTACTAATACCAATATGAAGACTGCATACCCGATCTTGTAGACCGTATCTATGGTAAACAGTCGACGTCACCCTAAACACGTCATTACAGATCCTTTCGATCCATTAACGTTGCTTTTAGGTACCACAAGCACCGGTCACCGTCCTCGTCGAACCCGTCGCTTGTGACGAAGGGCTCGACGAGTAAATTAAACCATAGACACAGCCCACTAAGTTTCTCGCCAGATCTTCTCAGTGGGTCGCGTTTCCGATCCGGTTGTAGATTCTACGAAGCACTGTTCTCGCTAGGGTCAGTGTTAACAACTGTGTGAGCTCACCTACACGTCAAGGAGAAGCTGAAATAGCCTCTCAAGGCTATCAGCATAAGTAGGGAAAAAAATGAATACTGCAAACTAAGAAAAAGAAAAAAAAAGTAATAATAATAGACCGAACTTCGGAAAACATGTTTCTGTATTAATACCAAAATTATAAACACGGCAATTTCATAACTCAAGATCAATATTATTTCTGACTTTTCGAATAAAGTTGTCGTGATGGCAATAAAAAACACTATATTAAGCTGTAAAAACAGTATAAATTATACTAATATACATATCTACGATTAACATATATAAATAATTAACTTCCAGACAAGAAGTAAACAAATTTATACGTCACGCGAGTATGTTGACAATGAGTTGAACAATCTATATATTAATACGTGAAGCAAAAACTTTGTATTTTTTATTTTTATTTTTTTTTATTGCCTAGCTGTGTGGACGAGCTCACAGCCCACCTGGTGTTAAGTGGTTACTGGAACCCATAGACATCTACAACGTAAATGCGCCACACACCTCGAGATATAAGTTCTAAGGTCTCAGTATCGTTACAACGGCTGCCCCACCCTTCAAACCGAAACGCATTACTGCTTCACGGCAGAAATAGGCGGGGCGGTGGTACCTACCCGTGCGGACTCACAAGAGGTCCTACCACCAGTAATTACGCAAATTATAATTTTTGCGGGTTTGATTTTTATTACACGATGTTATTCCTTCACCGTGGAAGTCAATCGTGAACAGTTGTTAAGTACGTATTTCATTAGAAAAATTGGTACCCGCCTGCGGGATTCGAACATCGTTGCATCGCTATATACGAATGCACCGGACGTCTTATCCTTTGGGCCACGACGACTTCAAATCCCTTTTTACGGAAATCGCGCGGATGGAGGAGTATGAAATTTTCCGCACTTATAGAGAATATAGAGAAGAAGTGCACAATGCTAATATTTTTTTTAAAATAATGCATAAAAGATACATTAAATCAATAAAGAAAACATTACACACACTACCATGTATTTGACACACACACGCATGCATACTTTTTTTTTTTTTTTTTTTTTATGATTGAAAGTTTACTGGTGGCCCGAAGGCCTTTCCAGTTTCACCAGGACAGGTGGGCGAGCAAAGGCTCAGCCAAGAGGGGTGGGATTTGCTAACAACTGCCCGAGCGCCTCCGAAGGAGACCTAACAACTCAAGAGCAATTGCTTCGCGAATGAATCTACTACCGGATCGGAATCGCGACCCGCTGAGAAGATCCGGCGAGAAACTCAGCGGGCTGATGCATGGGTTAGGTTGCACGTCGACCTCTTTGTCGAGTTCGACGAGTACGGTTACCGGGGTCCCTAAGCCTGCCCCTAGTATTAGAGCTGAAGGCATCTAATGNCGAGAGGGCTCGCAGTGTGATTGGCCTTGAAGGCCAAAAACTCCGAGGCGAGCTGTGGGTGGCGAAGTCGGAGGAATTCCGCGAATACAGCGTCCATGATCGCTGAGTACCCAGGTGGGGCGGCCCCGGGTCTTGAAAACACTCGCCTTGCGGCGAGGCCCCAACTTCTCGGACCTGAGCGGTTCTATTGAACACAGGACGCATGCATACTATTTATTTATTGTCAAACTTTTGTTCTTGACGTCTGTGGTCAAATTGAGAATAGATTAAATATTGTTTGTCTCTATTAATATTTTTCTATAGTGTAGTCTTGGCTTTGAAAATACAATCATAATAGTGTACAAACTTACAATTCCAATTAATTATAGTCGAATTTCGACTACTGCGGGACCGCTAGTCCTTTTTAAAACTGAAATGTGAATAGGGGGAACGGGCTCTTTATAATTATCCAATGACACCACCATTCTATTCCAGCGTAGTAAACAACAAATTACGAAGTCATAAAACTTTTAGAAGCGCATTAAACTTGTTCGGACGTTTTAGTACAAAATTGATATTGTAATATTCGCTGTCGTCGCGTCGGTTCGAATCAAACTTCAAAGTAATCAGTTTCAGAAGTATAAGTGTAGAATATTTCGCGTCCAGGCCGGTAATATTTACTAGAATTTAATTAAAATAGGACTTTGAATACAGCCATTTTATAGAAGTTTGTATGGCATATTATTAGATACTGTCAAAACATCATCCAAATTGAGTGGAGAGTAATTAGATGGAAGGTAATTTAGCCAACGTCTTAAAACATTACAGTCAGTAAAGACATATTTCTGTTATCTTTAATATATACTAGATGATGACCGAGCTTTTCTCGGTTTTTTTTTTGATAACGCCATCTTGCTGTGTCTTTAAAGCTGTTAGTTGCCGTCAATTAATAAAAATAGTATTATTATTCGCCAATAGATGTCGGGACGAGTTGACGAAAACACGAATAAAACAACATTTTCTGAAAATAAATCGTAGCTAGATCGATTTATCGCCCCCGAAATCCCCTGTATACTAAATTTTATGAAAATCGTTGGAGCCGTTTCCGAGATTCAGATTATATATTATATACAAGAATTGCTCGTTTAAAGGGTAAAAGGTATAAGAAAGATTGCAACAAGAGTTGCGAGAATTGTTTAGAAAAGGAATTTTAAATAATTCGATTGGAATAATTTTAATGACTGCTAATCATCAAGGGTTTTTTTATTGCTTTGATATGTGGACGAGCTCACGAGCCACTTGTTGTTAAGTGTTGATCGGAGCCCATAGACATTAACAACGTAAACACCGTCACCCACCTGAGATCTAAAGTCTCAGTTTTTACAGTACAACGGTTGCCCCACCCTTCAAACTAAAACGCATTACTGCTTCACGATAGATATATGCAGGATGATGGTACCTACCCGTATTGACTCACAAGACGTCCGACCACCAGTAATTATAATTTTATGCGGGTTTGATTATTTTTTTACACGATGTTATTTCTTCACCGTGGAAATCAATTGTGAACATTTTTCTTTCCCAAATACTTTCTACTGCCGCCCCTGGTTTCTCTCTAATTTAAATGATGTTAAAGCATATTATTAGCATGGACGAGCAGATCATTCTAGCTTTTTTTGTCACAAAGCTTTCGAGTATTCCATTCTGAAACGCAACCTTATCGTATCCTAACTTTTCCATAAAGATGAAAAGTATACGTCAGAGTTTACCCTATAATTTAACGACTTTAATAATTATTTAATACCATACTAGTTCTCTGGTTTGCTTATCAGAGATAACAAAATAATTTGCCCATTTTAAAGTCCCTATGAGACCACGGGTACATTCTCATCAAAATTAAAGCTAGTTCATTTCAAAGAGATCCTTTCAACTCACTCCCTGTACTACTTACAAATCTAAAATAAACGTTAAGTACAAAACGTATATTTCTGGCACAAAGTAAAAGGAAGGATACCTTTTTGCGTTAGTCATAAATCAATCTCTCTCGCGGAAGGCTCCGGGAGATTGCCTCAAGTTTTTGTTGGGCTGCGTTAGATAACGCGATACTAACTTCGCGGGCCCTTTTCGGATCTATGAATCGGGAATATTTTTGGCGATTCCATTATATTACGTTTCTTTTGAAAAAAAAAAAAACGCACGGTTTCGTAATTTTGATACAACATATTATTATGTAACATGGCGGAAATACTTTTTGTTATGATCAAAGAGTTCTTTTTTTTATTTTATTGCCCTTGTCGGCAGACGAGCATACGGCCCTGAGGTTGAGTGGTTACCGTCGCCCATGGACTTCAGCAATGCCAGGGGCAGAGCAAAACCGCTGCCTACCGCTTAATATTCTCCAAAAGCCTCTTTTAAAAAGGACCTGTCGTAGCGCTCGGGAAACACCGTGGAGGGGAGCTCATTCCATAGCCAGATGGTACGTGGCAAACTCGATGAAATTCCCTATTGAAGTTATACTTCTTTAAGCGCGTTATGAAAAATTGATGAGAGTGAAATTTTGCGATGCGCGCGCAGCGTGACACAAAATTAACAGAAATGAAGTTGCCCACAAGTGGTCCAATACAATTGAGGTTAACTATACGTATGTATTATTTAGTAATATAAAATGACAAAATTATTATTTAAAATAATTCATAATAAATATTATTAAATTATTAACGTTAAATATTAATTATTTAATATTTAAAAAATTTATAAAAATAAAGTATAACTTCTTACGCGAAGTACACGCACCCTCTTTTTTTATTTTTGAATCTATATCGTTTGAATTGTAGATGGATATATGTAAATACTTGGCGAATTTGTAGTCGCGAGATAATTATTGTATGTTTCAAGTAATCACGAAAGATATCGCTAATGTAGAAAACCGCTCAGTGTAATTGAAATTGAAAATAATTTATTAGTATCTGAATGTCATTGAAAATTGTTATTGAAAGTTCAAATTAATTTACCACCAATATAACTAAGTCGCATTATCGGTAGTAAATCGTTCACTCTAGTTTTGAAATATATTTTGAAGGACAATAATGGGCTTATTAGTCTTACGGTATATATATATTTAATAATATTTATTGTATGTATGTATTTTCTTTAATAATGTATTATTAATAGTACACCGCAACATATCTGCTGTATCTTTATCTTTTCCAGAATTTCTGTTAATTAAACGGTTGTCTGGAAGAAATCGTAGTTAGCGACAAGACCGCCTATTGTACAAACGTATCTGCTTGTTAACTGTTTTCTAATGTTAATTGTGTTTTGGTGGGCAATAAAGTATGTTCTCTCTCTCTCTCTCTCTCTCTCTCTTTCTCTCTCTCTCTCTCTCTTTCTCTCTCTTTCTCTCTCTCTCTTTACTTTAGGATTGTTTATAAAACTTTCTCTTTGTCCAATGGCGACTTGACAAGTTTGACCGTAAATACTTACAAGGCTTATTCATTTTATGTAGTCCACTTCTTCTTTTGTTTTCTTTTGCTAGTGACATTTGTCATTTACTTAAGAAGGAAAAATATACTTTTGTTAAATGTTTTATTGAAACCACTATAGCGTCATTAGCTACTGTTGTCGCGCACCAGAGAAGAGGCACTGAACTTAGTTTAGTCACTGCCTGTTTGTTTATTAAGTGCCCGTAATTTTGTTTGTAATTATGTTTTGATAGCTCCAAGATCGAAATTTCTTCTGGAAGTTTCTTAGTAATGAAATAATGATGATGGAAAACCGCCTACAAAGATTTATATTTTAATTTACATTCTAGCCGCTATTTCAATGTAGGTAAAGTTCCAGACGAATTTATTTTTAGTTCTCTCCGCAACTATGTAATATCATGGATTCCGCTGTTATTTTATCTGTCCATATCTGAAATTCTTACTCGATACCTGACAAATAAAACTATTTATTTAATAAAATTATGTATAAAAGTTTACTGTATCAATGCATATTTTGTGTTATCAATTGGTTTGTGCTTAACAATTTTATCTCGGCAAGAAATTAATAAATATAACAGTCATTTTGGTTTTATTCTTAATAACTATTTTGTTCGAGGCAGTTGTTTTATCCTTAATCAACTTCAATGTCCAGGTATATCTGAAAAATTCCTGTAAAAAAGGAAAAATATTTATCATTTGTTTCATCTGCTATTTTCATAAATTGGAATAGAACGTTACAGCGTTTTGTGGATCTTTTCTTTTGTTTGATCCGAAATTTTATTTCCTATTGTATTTCATAATATACGTTATTCAAACAAACAACTTTAATAAAACATGGGCAGGCTAGGCAAAGCTCTCCTCACTACGCAGAAACCCGCCGCCGCCGAGCAGGGGGTCGGGACCGGGGTCCCGTCCGTAACTCGGCCCCCTAAGGGCTTCGGGCTCCACCCGCTTTGTGTGGGGAGCAACCTAGGCGTGGGGCGGCGTGGTAGGTCGCGTTCCCCCGACCGCTCCGGGGGAAGGTGTAGCGCGGCGCTATCAATCGGGCTCCCACATACCCCACCTGCTGTGCGGGTGGGGATCCGGCGATTTTTTACTGTGGAAAAAAAAAAAAAAAAAAAAAAAAATGCCGTAAGCCTAAGAATTTATTAAGTAGATTCTGTCGATATTTTTTGTTATTCACAGAAGGGCGTCTACTTATACATAACATAACATATTTGATCAATCAAAGTATTTGGAAACACATAACAGACTTTTTGGAAAAGTTTTTTTAGTGTCGTAAAACATTTATGTGTATCAAAATTATATCAAACCGTATCAAAAGTGGGAAAACTATTAATTGAGAAGCATGACGCAGGATTTCGCTGTATCTAATCGATTCTATTTAAAGCGTGTTTATTTAGATACTATAATGACTGACTGGCCCTAATAAGAAATAAAATAAATTTACTCACAACAATCAACAGGTAATACGCAAAACTGCAACTTGTCATGATAAACATAACCATCTCTGCAACTACAACTGTTATATTTGCAACCGGTCAGACATGTTTTGTTAACTTCTTTGTAATCGGAACATGAGTTGCCGCAGTGGTTACCGCAACCGGTTGTAGCGTTGAAGTCTCCTCCGCAACTTGCTGTGGATCAGATTCAATTTCAATTATTTCATAGGTTTTACGTTTTAGGTCGATTCTAGTCTAGTCGATGCTACCCAATTAAGGGCACTGGCAGTTGTATTAGACTCTTCAATACCCTAACTTCATTTTGAAAGTGCATGCATGGGCGCTTTAAGGCAGGAATGGGCAGGTAGCTTATTTAACCTCACAACATATTCTACAAGCAACCATGGCATATATGGATGATGTATTCATATAGTGCGATATAATTATGGCGGAGGACAAATTTTGCACATTAATTATTAGGTATCATTTATTTGGGAGATAAATGAAGAATATCATTTGTGGTCAGAGGATACATTTCAAATCATAATACAACATCGGAGATTATAAAAAAAATTGTGTAATTTAGCTACGATCTCGAAAATCGTAACAATAAGTCATGTTGATATGAGTGCACCGTAAAAGATTTTTCTGATTTTTGGCTTTTTAGGCTTTTTAGGCTTAAACAAATAAGTGGGTTTCCTTAATGTCTATGCTTTTTTTTATTGCTTAGATGGGTGGACGAGCTCACAGCCCACCTGGTACTAAATGGTTATTGGAGCCCATAGACATCTACAACGTAAATGCGCTACCCACCTTGAGATATGAGTTCTAAAGTCTCAGTATAGTTACAACGGCTGCCCCGCCTTTCAAACCGAAACGCATTATTGCTTCACGGCAGAAATAGGCGGGGTGTGGTACCTACCCGTGCGGACTCACAAGAGGTTCTACCACCTGTAAAAAGTGCCTATATGTCATAACAGCCTAACTATTAGTCTTAAATATACTAATATTATAAAGCTGAAGGGTTTGTTTGTTTAAACGCAATAATCTAAGGAACTACTGGTCCGATTTGAAAAATTCTTTCAGTGTCAGATAGCTCATTTATTGAGCAAGGCTATAGGCTATATAACATCACGCTAAGACCAATAGGACCAATAGGACCAAGCGGAGCACCAATAAATAACGTTTCGAAATCGGGGTATTTTTCCCTTTTGAGAGCTTACGCTATATGTAGATATACGCTAGATATGATATACGCTAGATAGATATGTAGATATTTGAAGTCATCGTGGCCTAAAGGATAAGACGTCCGGTGCATTCCTATCTAGCGATGCACCGGTGTTCGAATCCCGCAGGCGGGTACCAATTTTTCTAATGAAATACGTACTCAACAAATATTCATGATTGACTTCCACGGTGAAGGAATAACATCGTGTAATAAAAATTAAACCCGCAAAATTATAATTTGCGTAATTACTGGTGGTAGGACCTCTTGTGAGTCCGCACGGGTAGGTACCACCGCCCCGCCTATTTCTGCCGTGAAGCAGTAATGCGTTTCGGTTTGAAGGGTGGGGCAGCCGTTGTAACTATACTGAGACCTTAGAACTTATATCTCAAGGTGTGTGGCGCATTTACGTTGTAGATGTCTATGGGNTGTGAGTCCGCACGGGTAGGTACCACCGCCCCGCCTATTTCTGCCGTGAAGCAGTAATGCGTTTCGGTTTGAAGGGTGGGGCAGCCGTTGTAACTATACTGAGACCTTAGAACTTATATCTCAAGGTGTGTGGCGCATTTACGTTGTAGATGTCTATGGGCTCCAGTAACCACTTAACACCAGGTGGGCTGTGAGCTCGTTCGTCCACACATCTAAGCAATAAAAAAAAAAAAAACGCCAAAGTAACTATTCCACGCGGACGAAGTCGCGAGCAAATGCTAGTCTTAAATATAATACAAATGCTTACGGCACTCGGTCTTTAGTATGCAAGTTTCGTTCGTATCTCTGACGTAGCCATCGACGCATACGCACGCTGGCCTGCAGACCCCAGTGGCTCCACTACAAGGCACCGCTGTTCCAAGGTCCTCGCAAGTTTTCGGACCGCAAAACGAACACTCCACAGACATTTCATTAGCTTCACATGTGAGTGTCGAGCGTTTTACAACTGTAATCAAAGTTTACCCTGGTAAGTAGTTTGGTACGCAGCGGCTTGGCTCTGCTCCTGGCATTGCTGACGTTCATGAGCGACGGTGACCACTTACCAGCAGGTAGGCCGTATGCTCGTCTGCCTACAAAGGCAATAAAAGGAAAAGAAAAAGGATACAGTTTGTTAATTTTGAGAAAACGGGCAACAAACTTTTCTTGTTTGTACTTTTTCTTCGTAAATAACTGCATCATCACAATATGCAATTTCTAAAAATAGCCTTTTAACACGGAGTTTTTTAGGTCTATTATGGTTTATAGGCACATAAGACCTTTATTCAATGTAAAAACTCAAAAATGATACTTAACCTCTTCATCCACTCATGTCTTCATTTATTTGGTCACTTAAATTTTGGATACAGATACGTACTAAGGATTTTTAAATAAAACATATTATATACACTTCATTCTTAACTCTAGAAACATGCAATTAGTAAAAGTTTTGATAATATCATGTTACAATACAATTTATATGTTTCAGTTAATGGGCAGACTCTATGTATAACTCTGTAACTACCTACAGTAGCAGCAGTAGGTGGATAATAATCGATTTCTCATGAATTTCAACTGGTCATTCTTCCGCATTGGTATATTTTACATCTATTTTATACAAAACATGCCACAAAAACGTCATCAATAGATACAACAAATATGTATAATAATATGTACCTACGATGCAATAAATATAATAAACGCTGAAAAAATAACGTATCTACGTAAAAATACTCATATATACTCATGTAATAATAATAATAGTACTCATATAATAAGAGTTGCATAGACATATTATAGAATAAGGTATAGATATTCATAAGATATAAGGCAGCAATTACGAATTTATAAGAACATTTAGCTACTATAAGAGGAATATGCATGTACGTTTTTTTTTTTTTTTTAAACTGTACTACTAGTTGTAACTTTACCAAAAATAAATATAAGACATCCGTAATACAAACCATTTTTTTTAAAATTAAAATTATTACCTTTTTGGAGCGATTTAAACACGGCCATTTTGGCACGCGTCATTATGTGACGTCAGATTACATTAAAACCGGTTTCAGTCATTTTGTTGAGTCTTTCTACACAAGTTAATAATTTAACACTGAGAACTTGTTATTTATTAACTTAATACAAAACAAATGATACACAGAATCACTTGAAACCATACAAACAACTTGTTGACACCGTTGACAGTGTAGTTTGACGTCATATTTTCATCCGTGACGTCCACAAATAGCGTTGCGTTTTAAAAATTTGCGAGGGAATTTGAAAAAAGCCAATTTTTGATGATTAAATTTCACCATTAAATTATGACAAATTTCAAAAATAATTGTTATATGTCTTTTTAGCAATCAAAATTACAAATAAAAATGTTTTGTCCATTTTGAAGTCACATGCATATTCCCTATTATTGTCACAGATTGGTTTCTGCATTATATAGTCTGTTGTATATTCATTTATGGGTTTCAAAAACATACAAGAGAGTGAGAGAAAAAAAAACCCAGATAATCCTTAGTTCGTTCGTTCGTCTAAAATTGTCAATAAACAACCACTACCAATCGATTCTTCAAATCAGTTGTTGTTAACTTAAATAAAATAAAAAAAAACATTTCCATCATCTTACCTTCACTTTGAATAAAACAAAGTAACAACGCCGAACCCAAAATTACGAGAGCAAACTTTGTCATTTCTATTTAATTAATTAACTGTAGTCGTCCACTTCATTCGGCGTGTTCAAAACCAATAAATCTATTGACAAAATGACTTAAGCCAGTCATCTTTGATTCATAACACAATTTTCCTTGTACTGAGACTAGCGTAATAATTCTGCTACGTCAACATTGTAATTACTGAAGAATTATCATCGGTTCAGTATTTTGTTAATGATTTTATACTTAACCAACCAATTATTATCGTTTAATTTAGCGATCCAGCAAAACGTATCTCTTTAAACTAGTCTTAAATATATAAATCTAGTTGCTTTATCATTGTATTTATAATATTAAAACCTGAATTCCATTGGTCAGAATATTCACAGTTGTATTAAAATATTGCTAACACCAATACATGTTTGTTAAAGTTTTAAGTAAAAGAAGTGATTTGTATTCGATAAACATAAGAACCTAAATTAAGTTTGTAAGTTTTAAAGTTTTTATCGCCTACAGAAAAGAATAAGTTGTACTTTGGCCAGGACATAGTTTAAAACAACAAAATCTCCAAGACCTTTTTGGATCCTGGTTCAAACAGTTTGAGAAAAAAAAACGGTTGTCTGTAAAGTCGGTTTACTGACGATGGTTGAACGTGTCAACGTCATAAGAAAATTCTGATGGAATGGTTTCATTTTTCAATTATCGCAATTATCGTTGCTATAAGCAATTGACACCACATTCACTTTTCACTGAACTTCATACTTGACGAAAACATGTAAATGTATTATTGTATAGCAGCTGTCCACGCGGATGCATCGCTCACTCAAGTAGGAGAGAGACAGATGTCGAACGCTGCCGAACGCGGAGGCCGATTGTGCCTCTTTGTCGCTCGTTACGCGCTCTCGCTTGCACTTCAAGCCTTAAATGGAACGCCTCAGAGCGAGGCAACGCCGCATGAGTCATGTTTTTCGTGCGTGCAGCCGGCTCCATCGAATTATAAGACGCTGTCACGTCAAAAAGATTTAAAGCACTTTAATACCGAAAACTTGTATTCCAGCCTTTTTTGAACGACGAAACGGCGCGGATTTGAAATTCTGCTGAACGCAGAGCAAATATTGACAAGATCATTGCTAAGTGCTACTTCGGAAACTGTCAAGTATTCGAAACGTCGGAAATAATAATTGTAATAGAAACGCCAGATTAAGCCGTAAAAGTATGTATGTAGTTTGAATTACTTGTAAATTGATAAATGTCGTAGCTGTCCGTGCCGCGATGCACATGTACATAGTTATGATAAAAATCAAGTCTGAAGTTTATCGTTGATTACTCTCAGTGGTGAATCTGAATAGTAATGCTATCACGATTTAAAGCTGCCTGTAAAGGCGCACTAGAATAAAAATAACAGACTGATTTTTTGAGCGTTTAAATTGATGTAAGCCATTCGAGTATCGTCGAAAACCAATTTATTATTCAAATCAAATCAAATCAAATCAAAAAATTTTTATTCAACATAAATGAAAGTACATACTTGTTGAACGTCAAAAGAACTACCGCCAATTCACAAGAACTAGCCTCCGTCCTGAGAAGAATTGGCAAGAAACTCAGCGGGCATGTTTTTTTTTTTTTTCATATAAATTTTTTATTTATTTATTTTTTAATATTATTATTTTTTTAAATATGAATTTTTTACACTGAGTATTATAACGTAACAATTACTACAATATTGAAATGCCTGGAGCGAGCAACTCATTCCCACTTTGTGCAATCTTCTAGATAATCATTGACTTTATAGTAAGCTTTATTGCACAGATGTTCTTTAATAGTTTTCTTAAACCTATGTATATGTAGGTTCTGAACATCATGTGGGATTTTGTTGTACAGGCGCACAGACAAACACCCGAATGAATTTCGTATCTTATGTAACCTACTCATCGGCACAACAAGCTTGTGTTTGTTCCTAGTATTTCTATTATGTATGTCCGACTGTTTAGGAAACTCCTCAATATGTTTACGAACATACATCAAATTTTCAAAAATGTACTGGGATGGCATAGTGAGAACTTTAATTTCTTTAAATTTCTCCCTCAGGGATTCCCTTGAGTGCATGTTATAAATAGCACGTATAGCTCTTTTCTGCAGAATAAATATCGTTTCTACATCGGCCGCATTGCCCCATAGCAAAA